ACTCCACCACCACCGCCTCCCGGACTATACCCGTCGTTTCTCCCGAATCTAGACTTTCCTTCATTGCGTCCATTCAATAACACATCCAAGGGCTCCCGTTCGACCCCCTTTGGCGCCGGTCTTGCGAAGTCCGGTAAGTATGATTCGAGCCAGTGATCTATAGAGTTGGTCGTGGGGGGCTCAATCTCAGCCTTCTTCCACAGCTGTCGAGCTTCAGCGAGCAACACCCTCGCGCTGTCGGCACTTACGGTGCACTCTGGCTCGATCAGCCAAAAGCCTCTGATCAGGGAGAAATCCCAATACTGCCCAGGGAACAGTCGATGGGTACGCCAGAGTAGATCGACCTCCAAGGTAGGTGGCATCAGCTTGCCAAAGCGGGCTTTCGATGGGCCAGACGGTTGGCTTCCAGGATGCCTGTCAACGACCTTGGGGTCGAATTTGGATACGTAATGGCCCTGCTTGAACCTGGCAATACTCTCGCGGAAGATCAACACGAAGTCCCTGTAGTCCCCGATGGCCTCGGCCAACCCCTCGGTGAAACGTGGAATCGCATCTCGGGCTCGGACCAAAGTTTTCCAATACTGGATCGATCGCTCCAAGTCCTCTCGGAGATCCTGCAAGTAAGGCCAGGGGCAAAGCTCGCATTGTTGTGAGAACTCCTCGTGGTTGCTTTGTAACTTGCAACGCTCATACCGCTTGCCTGTCCGGAAGGCTGTGTATGACGCGATATCCATCGCTCTGGGCAGCTCGACGCTGGGGCCTAGGGCGCATCGATTCCAGACCTGCATCTTGATCTGCCGTTCAAAGGGAGACGCCTTTTTTTCCCAGGAAGGAGTACCAGCCTCAATGGGCTTATTCGGCTGACCTGGCTGCCCATCATTATGAATCGAAGTCCTTTTCAGCAAACGGGAGAGTAGACTACCCGAGGCAGACTGCCGGCGATTACTCTTTGTATCCTCCCATGGCGGGTGCGTCCACAGTTGATACGTGAGTTCGTGGCCTACGCCTCCAGTCATTTGATTGTACTTGCGCCACGCTCGTTGCGTTTCTTTGGGCGACCAGTCCATAGACAGGATCTTGCTCATTGGGAAATGGCGATGAATGAGACCAAAAGTTTGGTTGAATCTGGTTTTGCCAGCCCACAAATGCCCATGAAAGCGCGAGGGCTTCATAAGATGACAGTACCAGATCATGGCAACATCCCTACTGGGTATCAGTCTTACTGCCGTTCCGATAGTATTAGTAGGGCAAGCATGCATCACGATGGGATGATCATTCGGCGTCAATCGGCTGTAGTCGAGGAAACGGAGGTACACGATGTAGCGCCATTCAGAGTACGCCAGCGCTTCATCGTCTATTCCACCCTTCTCGCTCGTCCCAAGGTGTGGTAGCAACTTGAGAAAGAGCTCAGCCAGCTCAATGTGTTGCTGTTGGCCACAGTCAGGTTGATTCTCCGCATTTCAATGTTGTTTATCTTACTCTGGCGGGTTTCTGCAGCGGGATGCGTTTCGTATTCTTGGTCCATACATCCTCAAATACGCAGATGGGTTGCGTGGTCATGGCGATTAAAGATCGATACGTCTTTGTGGGCTTGGGCGTCTACGTTGGTCAGAGCATGTCGCGGCTGAAGCGTGCACCGGGACCCTAAGCTTTAACAAATCTAAAATAATTGGCGCTGTGGATAACACGACTGGGCTGCACCTCGAAAACGCCCTTGCGACTTGGCTTGGCCTTCTTCTGTGGTGAACGGCTTGCGCCGTGGCCTTGTGGCCCCTGGTCTGCCGCGTGAGCACAGTGCTCGGGGCTTAGCGCTGCCAGATCTGCAACAGCTTCAAGCCACCGCCCAGGCACCGAGGCACATTTCACACCGCAAGGCGCACTTGGTATCATAACGAAGTCTCTCTCTCTTCCACAATCGCTGTGAGGCTATCAGAAAATATGTTCCGGAGCATGTTTGCTTGGGCATTACAGTGTCATTTGTCTCCGCTGTTGACTAACATGACACTTCCAAGCGAATACTCAGGGCACGGTAACTAGATGAAATCTGAAGACTCAAACCTTGGTCCGGCTCGCGTCGGTAGCGACGCTTTTCACGCTATCCTTGCTGGAAGCAACGGAGCCCTTGCGCCTACGAAGGAAAAATAAGATAGCAGCCGCCAGGCCTGCGATGGTCAGCGCTACAACGGCTCCGATAACCCCAGCAACAGCGTTCGACATGCCTCCGCTTCCATTGTTGTCGCTGCCCTCGCTCTGCGAACTGGCATCATCCTCGTAGGCGGCGCAAAAGTCTTCAGCAGCTGAGCACTTGTTGCACCAAGTACCAACATCGCTGATGGCGCGCTTTCGCGTCTCGGAGACAAAGCGCGACCAAGGAAGGGAGTCCTCGCCAGTGCCATACAGAGGAAAGGCAGTCAGATCGCCATCAGTGCCATTCTTGAACAGCCAGCGCACGCGGAGATCTTCATCCGGGTTCGCAGGAAATTCCTGAGCGTCGTCGCTGAACAGCTCAAACGACATGGTGGAAGCGTATTCTGGCAGGCCGTAAAAGTTATCAGAAACCTCGAGCAAGCCGGCTAGACCAAAGAAAGCAAGAAAAGTGTCATAACTTCCGGCCAGGAAGGAGAACTTTAGCTTTCCCTTGGACGCAACAGTCTGGTTCAGTTGCGAGAGAACTGCACCCGAAAGTGTCTCCGCACCCAGAGCGCGCATGGGCTGCGACTCGTTCCAGTTGAGGCCATGCTCCGCCGAATCGGCAAGGGTGCGGAGTTGGAAGAGATCCTCGTCTGAAACATTGCGAGCAGCTGAGGTCATGTTGTGGATGCGCGCAACATTGATGAGGTCAAAGATATCGTAGGCTTTGGCGTAGGTCATATTCTCGGGCTTGAGGTTGTAGACACCCTCGCTCAGGACGTCGTAGAAGCCCCCGTAGAAATCACGCGTAGCCTCAACACGCTCTGTGAAAAGCTCGCTCGTCTTGAACGACTTGGATGCATTCACGTAAGCCGGGCAGGCGTCGTCACCCTTGATCCAGATTGTGTCGGGCGAGTTGTCGGCAACGCCGTGCAGCAGGACGTACTGGTAGCCATCGAGAGGACTCGTGCTGTTCGTGCCGTTGTTAAGAGTTTGAGTGGCAATCGCCGGGGCAAGGTCAAGCAGAGGGAGGATAGAGGCCCTGGAGGAACGCCGTGGCTGTGCTCAGAAGAATACTCTGATCAGGGCGCGCTGGCAAAGATTTGCGAGCCAACATATTGGTCCGCAGAGACGCCGAGGATTTGGCTGGACGAGCTAGCATCCAGGTAACGGGCTCTGTACTCGCTGCCGACTTGAAAGTTTTGTGACGCACCAAGGCTGGTAAGCCTTTGAGCGCCGTACCACTTGGTCGTGCCTTACGCATGTCAGTCATGTTCTAAGAAGGATGAGACTGGTGTCGTCAGTCATTCAAGACTGGCCCAGAAGGACTTACGATCTCCATGACGACTGAAAACCACTGCACCGTGGACGGTCTCAGCTGTGGCTGTGCTGGCCAACCAAGCAACGGCGGCAATGAGCTGTGTGTACATGGCGGAGACTAAGGCGTGGTTTTGAGAAGTGCAGTAATGGTGGTCTGACTGCTTGGGTAGCCAAGGAAGACGCCCTGACTTATATGTACGATTGGAGTTCCTGCACCCTGGATTCTGATATGGGCCGATCTTCAGTGAGGGGTCGAAAGTTCGCCTTTTTATTGGCGTAATATGCTGCAGAACGGCCTGGAGAGGGAGTTTTGCACCGGCGCCGTGCCAAGCCAACTCTGCAGCATGGTATCGCCAGTCTGCTTGAAGGGCGCCGGATAGCCGCTAGGCCATTATCCATTGGACACACTTGATTGAAAAGATCTTTTGGTGGTATCCTCTGGCCCCGCTCTGTCAATCTCAAGTAGGTACCTCACTCATGCCTATCGTGTCGGCGGCTGCCGATCGGAGTCGCCGGAGATGCTCAAGTCCGGTCAAGACCTAGCTACGAACGTCTCACGAATGCCAAATAAGGTACTTTATCCTCCAATGTATATGACTCAGTCAACAGTGAACAATCAACGTGAAGCTTCTCCTTTTTGGATGTTCAACAGTGGGGTGGCCGTTCTGGTAGGCGTCGCCTCTGCTGACGACTCCTCACGTCAATTCTGGGCCCTCCTATGGACCAGCCAATCATCATTCGTGCGTAACGATTGCAACATCGCGCGGGTTGGGTGGAAACGACGACACCGCTATCTTCAGGGTACAAACCTGCCCGATGCACAATCGTTGTGAAGGGTTCATCATATTATCACATGGCAGATGTGAGTGATCTTCAAGCCCTCGAATCAAGGTTGGGCAGATCTGGGACAAAGGTAGCTCCTTTGCCTACAATAGAGTGACCTTATGAGCATCACCAGTACAAAGCAGTCGAACTGAATCGCCAGATGAAGTCCATATGATACTCAGAGGGCGAAAAGCCACGATCAGAAAGACAATCGCGGATCAAAAACAGATTGCTCAGTTGATCTATTGATTTCCCAGTAGTGGCTCCTCCGAATGCCGCCTCCCGCCTGCGTCTTCATCGTCGTCGCTGGGAGTTGGGACAGCTTGCAGGCGGCCCTGTCGGTTGGCCCTCCTGCGCCAGGGACGGTACACCACGATAGATCCTATGCCGATGATAACGAACAACCCGCAAATGCACGCACCAATGACGTCAAAGTTGTCGCCGATGGCTTCGATTGCGTCCCAAAATCCTCCCTCGAGATTGCCTATATTTTGGATGAGGGTGAATAGCTGCACGAGACCAATAAAGGCCGAGACGAAGACGGTGATGCCTGTGAGAACAATTGAATAGTAGAGGATGGCGACATGATCTTTGAAGAAGGCCTTGTTGGTGTAAAGAGCCATCATGAGGGCACCGTCTGTCGTATCAAGCATGCACATTCCCGCTGTGGGAGAGTCAGTGGTGCCCGTGTGTGTATGTTCGTGTCTTGAGAGGGGGACTCGGGGGTTTATTACCTGTAAACAGTACTGGAAAGATGAGGATGAGCCAGATGCTCGTACCTTGGGCTCCATGTACGCTCGAGAGGCCGAGAATAGCAATCTCGGAGCTCGTGTCGAAACCAAGTCCGAACAAGATGCCCAGAGGAAACATCTTCCACGGTCTGTCAACAATTCGGAAGACCCTGCGAAAGAGGGTGGCCAGGAAGCCTTCCCCTTCCAGCCGCAAATTCTGCACCGCATCGTCGACAGGCTCGTCTTCGTTCCCGCTGTTCGCATCTGGAACCGCCGTGGCCCTCTCTTCTTCTAGCCTCTCATGGAGTTGCTGGATGAGCCGGTACAGCACCCAGCCGTTACCCGCGCAAAGCAGGAGCAGGAAGGTGGCGCTCACGGCAGTGCCAACGATGTTACCAACACGTGCGAGGCCATCAAAGCGGTCCCGCAAAGCTCCGCTAGTGGCGGCAACGACAACACAGGTTACGATAACAACGGTGCTGTGGCCGAGGGAGAAGAAGGTCCCGACTGAAACAGGCCGCTGGCCCGAAGCGATGAGACGACGCGTCATAAGGTCGATTGCGGAGATGTGATCAGCGTCAAGGGCATGGCGAAGTCCCAGGACATACGCGAGGGCGGCGGCAGAAAGAAGCGAAGGATGTGCCGCGAGTATGATGGCGGCAATGATCCAGAGAACGACATTGACGGAGATAAGGAAGGCAATGATGCGAAGGGACGATGCGGGGAGGCCCTTGAAGAGGGCCGGCATGGTTATGCGGAAGCGCGCCATAGCGTCGACAAGGACACAATCTCGTGACAGGTGAAGACCACAAGGGATTTTGGAAAAACCTCTTGCAGGACTCAAATTCGCGGAATGAGCACCGAAAAGTTCTGTGAGATGTTTTGTCACCCTGAAGTGGTCGGTCGGTGGTGGACCCCGCCCAAAGGCGACGCTGGCCATACCCCGCCATCCCGACCAGGTGGGGGCCATCTGCACTAACACATCAGTCGTGTACCTCAAGGCAGGGACCTCAGCAGAATAAAAAGTTGTCCCAAGAGCTAGCCGATATACGTCACGACACACAAAGCATAGGTCAGTGGTGGATGGCGAGCTGACATGCACCAAGACAAAGCATCGTTGGTCATACAGCTGAAGCACTTGGGAGATGATCATCAATAAATCCGGCTCTCTATTTGGCTCACAGATATGCCTTCCTATCGTCGCACATTCATCAGAACAATCCCATTCCCTGCGCCGGTAACCTTTTTCCTGGCCGAATCGTCAAATATGCTTGTTTTGTGGATGCACGACAAAACCCAAGCGCCCAAGAACCCAACCAGTGCAGCCGTCCCTCGTTCTTATGCGTATCCCCAAGGACACGTCCAACTTGCGCCTGAGATCCATAACTCAAACCTGAACGATATCCATCACCCTAAATCGAGATCGAAAATTACGTTTTGGTGTGCATAGAACACCAGCCGACCAAGAAGATCAGGTCGGGGTGCCGTACTCTTCGAGAAGAGGCACGTCAGCTTCGAAACTGTAAAGCCGCACTTCTCCGTCTTCACTGCCGCTCGCCATGCGGCTGTCGCTGAGTCCGACGCATGTTACTGGTCCCGTATGGCCAGTAAATGTTCTCTCACACTTGCCAGATCGGGGATCCCAAATTTTGACCATGGCATCATTCGCACCGGTCACCATTCGCAATGAGTCACCGACGAGACCCCAGATGCCCTCGACGTGCCCAAACATGGTACGGAGGCATTTGCCTGATGCCGTACACCAAAGCTAAGACAGGTCAGCGAGTTGCACACGCAGCAGAACAGGTTGGAAAAGGAACCTACCTTGACAGTGTTGTCTAAGCCAGCGGTGAGGATGTACCGCGGCGGCAGTGGCCTGGAGGGGTTATTCGCGAATGCCGCACCGTACGCGGTGCGACTATCATCTTGGCAGGAAGAACCGTGATCATGAAACGACGAGCCTAATGTCGAGGCCGCGTGAACATATGCCGACGGCGTGCTGCTTCGGCCACTCGTGGCAGAGGCAGCGTCAGCGCTGTCGGCAGGTACGAGATCTTCTTCTGGCTCAAACTCCTCCGGCATCAGCAAGACTTGCTGAACCTGTCCCATGTGACCCTCAAGGGTCTTGATGCATGTTTTGTTCTCCAGATCCCAAATCTTGACAGTGCAGTCGTCTGAAGCCGAAAATACAACTTGTGAGACCGGATCGAGCCGGACATGGTTGACCCAATCGTCATGGCCACGCAGAGAGAACGTCTCCTTGCTATCAAAATTGAAAATTTTGACCGACTTATCGATGGAGCCGGAAGCGAGCCACTTGCCATCAAAGTCGACCGAAATCACACCTTCGGAATGGCAACGCAGTGTGCTAATGCATTCGCCGGTCTGCCAGTTCCACACCTTGATCGTATTGTCGAGACTGCCACTAAATAGTTTGTTGTCGACAAACTTCAAAGCTCGAATGCCCATCGTGTGGCCCGTCAATGTTCGAATCTCTTCTCCTGTCTCGATGTTCCAAATCTTAATCTTCGTGTCGTATGAACCGGTGACGAGTATGTTGTCTTCAAACTGAAGCGCTGTGACGCCATTCTCATGCCCCTTGAACGTCTTGACAGCGCAGCGCCCTCTCGTCCAGTTGTAGGAGATCTTCCATCGGTCTCGATAAACGCTCTTCCATGGCCTAAATCTCTTGTCGGGTTCCGATTGGCTTACGGAGTCGTCTTCGCCGACGGCGTTATGACAGGTTCTCTTGCGGCTGTCCTCTCGGATGACGAGCTCCCTCTTCTTCGATCCGTTTGTGGTGGCGGAGGTGGCAACAGCGATATGTGATTCTTCCTCTCGCCTCTTCTTCAGCTCCTGCTGCCGTCGCCAGTCACGGAGCTTCTGTCGTTCAAGAAGGGGAAGGCCCCAGCCGCACTTTGTGCACTTGCGATCGATATGCTGCTCGCACATGTGGTGCCAGACGACGTCGTGGTCCGCGAGGTCACGCCAGCGGCGGCTGACCTGGGCTGCTTTGCATAACGAGACGGTATCGAGGTAGCTCAGGACCTTCCAGGATATCTCCACAGGAAGCGCGGCGACGAAGTCGATTTTCAGTTGTTCATGAACCTCCCGCGAGACGGTTGAGAGCTGGGGGAAACAGCACTGCGTAATGATACCTTGCAGCCTGAGATGACTAGGTCAGCGATTGTCCTGACACGTGGTCACAAAAGTCCGACTTACATCAGGTCACGGTGCCGCGCAGGAGCAGCAGAGAAGAGCGACCACACATGAGTGATGGCTTGCTGGTCTGCTGCTGGTAGAGTGTCAAGTTCCTGCTGAATCTTGACCATCTTGCTTTCGTCGGCAGCTCGTCGACATTTGGAATCGGGTCGATGTCGGTAGCAAAACTTGCTGTTGGGATCCTTTTCTTTCTTGATCTCCTCGGACGCTTGGGTGTCTGGCTTGCCGATGGGCGCATATATGCCGGGTATGTGCTCGCGCAGGAAGGGGGTGACGGTCTGGGTGTACAGCTGAGTCGGCATGTTTACGGGTAGCCTCGACGGCTCGTCTTCGTGTGCTCTGCGTCGGTCGCAGTTATCTTTGAATGGCTGCTGGCCGGTGATCACATGGCTGTTGTTGACTGCGGTCAGGGTGGAGGAAGTGTTGGGGGAGGGCGAGTGGAAGATGGAGCCATTTCTGTGATGAGGGTGACTGTGCGAAGATGATGAGGTTCCCGTCTGGGTGGAAGCTTCCGTGGAGGCTGCTGACGTGCTCGGACGAGACATGGTGTGTATCGTATCGGAGGACGTGGATCGCAAAGACAGCGCCGCCTTGGTTGTGTTTCGTCGGACGGACTGCCGGGGATGCGTCAAGCGAAAGGGTGGTCGTGATGGACAGGCACTACCATAGGGGGCGGTCAACCATATCTCGAGACAAGCGCTGGTCGTTTGGGCGAGGAAGCAGGATGGCGTGCTCCTTCCCCTGGTGAGGTACCTGTCAGTACTCTACGAGCGGAGACGGAGGCTCCCTGGCGGAACGTTCGGTAGAGGGACGTGTTGGCTATGTGTCTCGTGCCAACCCGGGGATTGCGTTTGCGGTGGGGGGATGGCGCAGAGAAGACGTTGACTGGCTGAAAGGCTGTGTATCGCCGGCGCACGCAATCCAGGCGGTCGGTGTCGTCTGGGGTCGACAGCGCAATGCCGGTGGGATGCGCAACGAAGAAGGTTTGATGATCAATGGTCGGTAGGACAGGTTGTCATCGCGAAGGCAGAAACTCGTCTTTGCTCTGGTTGCCCGTCGTTGCTTGGGTCCGTGGTCGACCTATGTTGCTTTTGTGGTCGGTCGTATATACAAGCAGTAGCCCACGTGAAGGTTTATGTCTTAGACGAATCGGACGGGGAGATCTGAGAGGCGGCTCGTGGGTGTATTGACAGACGGGCAGTCATCAGCGAAGGCGAAGGCGGCGATTCGAGGTGGTTTGGTGCTTTGGGGCGAAAATGGCGTTATCGCTGGGGTCCATTCTTTACCAGACAAAAGGTGGGGCGTATTCTTTCCAGCTCCAGTGCGGGGGGGAGTAGCAAGTTTAGGGGACGACTTGGCGCTCTCCCGGCACAATGGGCATCGTGGGATGCGCCGCGGGGGGATGTGGGTGATGTGCGTGGGGAGACGACGAGGGATGCGTGGGAAAACATTGATAAGGGTTGAATGTCTCTCGCGAGAGCAATTCTCGATCGATTTTCTTCTGATTTTCATCACCTTTCTCGCATTCAAAGCCTGCGTACTTTGAGCATCCAATCGACCGCATAGGCCTGGCGCCTAGCCATTTGTTACTAACAGGAGCGACCCGACTCGGAAGGTCAGGTGGGATTTCGTCAGTCTTGGCTTCGATTAGCTCATTCAACACCAGCCATTTGCCTCGAACAACTTTTCCCGAAATTCCTCCTTCCACCCAGCTGCCTTCCCAATGCATCATTACGCCAGACGCGAACAGGATATATCGGTACTTCAAGATACGTGAAGGAAATTGCACCACCGATACATGTCATCAGGCTTGACTTGTGTCATCAAGCCCCCGCCATCTGTGTCCCCTGGAACCTTCTACATCAGGCGATTAAGATGCTTACCGAGTTTGATTACTTTCCCAGGCCCATCGAATGGTGGGTCAAGTCAACGCCGATGTCCGGAGTCATGGCCGACCTCACCACACCTGGGGATTTATCCCTTGGATAAGCTCGAAAATCCGCCGCAAATGACAATCCACCAAGGCTGACCGCGTTTGCTCGCACCAAAAACGGTTGGTAAGGTGTATAAGTATTGTTGTTGGATTTGGCTTAGATTATCGTCAACGTGCCCCCAGGGCTACGTTTTATAGCACCCGCTGACTAACTGCATCAGAGAAGCTCCTTCCGTCAGCACCCCCAATGACAGCTCGCAATCAAAGTTGTCAAATCATCAATTGTGCCATTCGCAAATTTGTTTCTCCAAGCACTGGTAGCACGGCTTTCGGCCTAACGGTCATGTTACACAACCACGTTCACGATTGCGCCTTGTCCAAGGTAAAATTGTTGATCGGCCCTGGGCATGCGTGCCCGGTCGGTTTGCTGGTAACGACAGGCTTCTGAAGCTCCAGGTGAGGCAGGTTCAGTCCCACCCCCAACTTCGATTTCAAGGACACAGCTTCTATTCTCCAGTGGGGGCAGAGGGCGATAAGAGCGATTGGTACGCCATCCGCGCAAACGCATCGTATCAGACCATGCTGGACTGTCGCCGTACTAGCGCCGCCACAGAGTGCCTAGAGTGTCTCGAGTACCACTTACGGTCGCTTATCCAGATCGTTACGGACCACTTCTTGAGATGCTGGAACAATCGCCTCTATAACAACGCGTATTACGAACTTCAAGCTGTCCTAAGACTGAGATCGAGAATGCCCTTGGAGAGTACGAGCTGCCTTCGAGCGTCACGCGTTGTCTACTGTAGTATGATAGCATTAAATGGACAATCAACAATGATTTAAGCATCATGCATTTGACTACTGACCACGCGATGCCAGGCTTGAAAGGCACTCTCGAATCAGGTCACACGCCAGGAGCTGGCCGTCAATATGCAATTCTGCGTGATGTGAAAAAGCTCGTTTACCGCAGAGATGGCCTGTCGCGAAAGTGCATCCGTCCCTCGCCTGCGAGTCTATTTATGGTAGAGTAAGAAGATAGTGGTAGCCAAGTCATCCTACCCACCGAAGTACAAATTCCTTATGCTTCTCCCCGTTGGCTCCGGCGATTCCAGCCCTCTCGGCATCTATCTGTTCAATTTCTGGACTGGATATCAGCGATTTGCTTGGCTTAGCTCGATTATGAGGCATTCGACTTCAGAGTCAACGAGCTTTCACTTCTTTCCTCAAAGGAAAGTCTCAGCAAGAATGCTGTCTCGAAAGCAGCTGCACTGCGCGTCGGGCGTCGGTGAGGTGCGTCACAACCGAAATGCTCGAATGACTCCTGAGCGTTGCGCGTGACATCGTATGCCTTGGCTGCGCGTCCCTCCCGGGCTCTCGAGAGGACACGAAGGGTTTCTAGCAGAGTAGGGCCATCGCTTGGATCTGCAGATGATGTGGCAAGGTTGATAGTTAGAAGTCGCAAAAGAGCCTCGATTGGTGGCTCAACATTGAAAGTTCCAGACGAGCGGCGACGACGGGGTCCCGGTGTAGACGTCGTGACACGAGCACGTGGTGGTGAGGCAGGCTGAACTGGATGCGCCTTCTTGGGAGCCACAGCTACTGCAGGAACAGCAAGTTCCATCTTCGCTGTATCGACCAATGTTGCTGCGGCAGCTTGGTAGGACTGGACAGCGACTACTCGGGCCTCAAGGCGATTGATGTTGTCTAAGAGGTATACTAAGCACACAAGGATCTAAAGCCGTTAGCATGACATTGCCGTTAAACAACAAAAAGCATTGAGATACTCACGTATGAAATTGCAGCCATAGATCGACCGACGGACTGCCCATTCTTTTCCGAAAGCGACTTCAAGGCAGGTTCAAGATACTGCTGCTCAACTGACATCTGGGCGACAGGAAGTATCTCCGCATAGAGGGACTCCAGCTCTTCTTGTAAGGCTTTTACTTCGCTAGCCGGTGCATCCGTGTGTTCGCTGCGAGGGGCCGACTCAAGAGCTTCGAGATATGTCCGGTCAAGCTTGGTACGTGTCATCTCAACGGTGTACTTGATAACCCTGTGGGCTGTCAGGGGCATAATACATGATAACGGATGGTTAAATAAGTACCTCATACAACATTCTCTTAGTGTTGCAACATTTTGCGACTCCTCAGGGTCTTCGGGGTCGAGCTCCCACCCCAGCTTTTGCAGGCTTGAAAGCAGCTTGTCGTCCGATCTCAAAGCTTCTTTGATCACTTCATGTATGCTTTCGGTGGTGATGGCTGCCTGCTGCCCCATATCTGATGTCCTATAACCCAGATACTGCGAGAGTTCCTCGACCTAACTCTGTTAGCATGAACACCTCCAGATGCGTTACAACATTTACTTTTGAGCTAAGCGCACGGCGCTCTGCTGCCCGCCTACTAGTCCTGGTGGCCTCCATCTCCCGACGTGACTCCGTCGACTTAGCGTTACTATCCGCAAGCTTAGCCAAGGCGTTGTGGTGTTGCCTCAACATCTCAGTCTGCTTGTTTATGATGGTCGTGGAGCAGTCGAGCTCCTGGACCGCGGCCCTAAGCTCAGCCTCCCCTATCGCCTCGACTGTGGCTAATTCTCTGGATGCCACGAGCTCGTCGACCAGCCCAGCTTGGTCGAGCGACAAGTACCTGGTGCACAGTGAGACCATGATAAGTGGAACAGGGATAAGGCGATGTTACAGAGAGAGCTCGTCCTGGGAGAGAAGATTTTCAGTGCCGAGGTGCGTGCTGATCCACTCCTTGAATGCCGTACCATGAGTTGAGTCGTTCAGTACATCCTGCAGTACACTGTCATCGGGCAAAGTGCTCCTCCCATACCTAGAAAGAAGGTCTCTCAGTGCCGTCAAGTCCATCCTCGAGAATTCAGTGGTCTTTCACAGTTCCACTTCTTACGTGTCGGGCTGAGCCGAGTTTATGAGGCTTCGATTTAGGGCTCAGGGTGCGCTTAGTTTGTCTGGTGTCCAGGGGTCCTCTGCCAAGGTAGTGGTGATTGGTGTCGCCTTGATTACTTGCAAAAGGCGCGTTTGAATACGGTATTGTAGGGTGACGGGAGACCAACAGTCTGCCCATCCGAATTTTTATGCGCAGGCGTCCTCGGTCAATGAGACGAGAACAAGTGATTGACAGGTGACGGTCATCCGAACCTCGTCGCCCGTTGATGATCCGAGACACGGGCAGAGCCTATTGCTGGGTCCCGCCTAGTGCGCTGATCCACAGCATTCGACAAAGCAGAATGCTCCCTGATCGGAACACACCGCCGCCTGAGTGCAGCCGCGAATGGTTTGTGAGTCGTTGCTGGGCGGTGCCAATAGGGATTGACTTAGGCTGGAGTTGCTGAGGAGCGTTTGCATCAACGCCAGATCGGGGCGAGTCAGGCGGGTTGACGAAGATTACTCCGCACCACAAAACGCAGAGGGCTCTGGCTGGGCCCACACGCCGCTTCGAGTTGTTAGGAATACTATACTATTGGTCTCCGGCCGCCGCAATGTGGTAGGGCTGGTAGAACAAGTGATGAATTGTCGTCCTCGGAATACTTACCCCTGGTACATGTCAGCTAGGGCGCTAGCCAAACGCTGACATCGTCCACTGGCAGCAGCTAATCACGTGTTTGTCCCAGTAGAGGCAGGTTGCTGCCCCTCTATTGCTCCATGGCATTGGCAGGCTGTGCAAGTGGTGGCAGCTGTGAGAAGCCGAGTTCCAAGCCACCGCGGGGCGTTCTCTCATCTGCCAGACCAGGGTTATGACCAGTTTCTCGAGGCCAAGACGATGTTCCTACCTCAAAGGTAGGCATTTGCCAATTCAAGCGTTGCCTCACCGGGTGCATGCCGTAAAATATCGCTCGGAATCCTCCTCGCCGGTCTATTCCGCTGTCCCGCGCTCATCACGGCCTGAGCTTGGGCCCGTTTGCCTTTTTGTCCCAGCCCTATGGTCACCGTTTGCTGATGTTTCTGTGAAATGAAGGCAACTCCAACCCGCTTCGACGTTCCCATCTCTCAGCATGTCTCGCCTCACATTATACATTAGAGCTTCTCCATGGTAAGACTTGCGAGTCACCTCCGCCAGAGGCGACAGGTAGCCCCCCCCCCCCCCTTCCATGACGGACAGTGGTAGACATTGGGCTACACAAGGATTGATCGTTGCTGGTATCGTATTCTGTGGTTCGACGGAGGCAGCAAGTCGTCGGTGCTGGAATTCTTCCGATAAGTCACCTCAGCAAGCTTGGGTGTTGCTTTGAGAGATATCTATCACCACTCGTTGGTTGGATTGCTGCAATGTCAAGCACTTCCATAAGCCGTGTACCAATCACTACCTAGGTGCCTCACTTGCCAGGTCTGGGTTGAGGTAGCTACCTAGGCCTTTAAGGTGTGCATTTACCTCCGTGGCTCGTGGCATCGGCAAATGCTCCCTCCAGAAGGATAGACAAACGGCCGGCTTCTGCACACACCGCTTTGTACATTTGCGAGGTAAGACTTGTTGTCCATGTTGGCCTTTCAGTCTTGGCAAAGGTCAAGACCATCACCGTGGACCTCAGTTCATCGATAAACCAATGCATGCAGCTCCTTTTCCGGAGAATCGTCTGTCCCAAGATGCATTGTTTTCCACTGGCAACGCGCCGTCATGCTCTTCTAGCCCTGGTAACCGCCATGAACTTCTAATCACTGTGCTTTCGTGAATAGCCATCCCGCAACCGCACACCCTGGGCAACACCCTGCTCCTCCTGGTCGCCGCGGCGCCTACTTGCCGTTTTCTTCTGTTGACTTTCCACGTTAACAGGCTGTTAAGCTCGAATCAGTCGTTTGTAGTACCGCACTGAAGAATCGCTGAGTCGCCCTGATCTTGCAGCATATTGCCCCGCCCCAAAGCCCTTCGTTAACCACGCTGGGCCACCTTCTTACCACGCTCAACATCGGAAGTGGTCACATCTCCCACAATTTCAGCTCCTACTCTTCTCGCAGGCTCAACTTCGACAGTTGTTACCTCATCACCTCTGCTATCGGCTTGAGAGCATCGAAATCTCACGTCTAGTACTCGGTGGTCTCTAACGGGTCGAGGTTGCCGCCCCTCGAAGACAGTGGTGTAACAAGACCTCGAGACTGCTTCGTGTGTTCATGTCTCTCTTCCTACCGTCTTCTGCAGTCGCCTCCTACAAGTCAGTTCTGGATCAGAGCGCCCGCGGCCTTGTCATACGACGTCGGACGAGCCTAGCATGGCCAACAACATTCAATCCCGCTGGGGACATTTAATCATCGACTCTTCCCGCTGTCTCAAACGCTGTCTTAGACAGTTGAAAAATGCTGTTCTCAATGTCCCATACATTCTAGCTCACCGAGCCACACAGATGCGCTCCAAGCGATCCACTTGGAAAGTCCTGGGCCTCAGCGCCACGCGGAAGCTGGGCGAGATCTTCTGGGTCATCGCCATCTGCGTCCTCAGCGAGATCCTCATCTGGTGCCTCAGTCTTGCCTTGCGGCTAATCGACATTCAGTTCCTGTCTGCCATTGTTGGCATGGTCATGGTGTTCGTCTTCATGCTTGCCCTGAGCAGGTTTTGTGACTCCACTGAGAGGTTCTACATGACGAGAATCAAGTCGAAGGTGAGCCATGACTTGGACTCATACCTGCACAAGCGCGTATACTGATGGAAGAAAACTTAACAGATCGACTTCATCAATAAGAACCTCGGTGTTGGGTTTCCCGTGCCTATTGTTGCTATCAGCAGGGAGGAGTCACTGGGAGCCAAGGGTATTGGCAAGGTCATTGGCAACTTTCGTACGTACCTTCCACTACACGGTAGCGTCCCGGACGCACAACTAATACCGAAATCAGTCTCAACAAACATAATATTCTGGGTCTTGGTCTTTCTGCTCGCCTGGGCCTTCGTCGCAGGCATGCTTCATTTACCTCGGCGACCCTCGCCGCCGTCAGTCTCAGAGCATGACCCAGCTAGTACTGAAGAGGAGAAGACGCCCTGGTCATCTACCCAGGCTCAGCCAGTCCAAGTGCCAGTCTCCGAGCAGCCGCCTCGTCTCGAGCTGCCTGCCGACGTGGGATGCCGTCCCTCCGACACCATGACCCTTCGAGACTCCATGATGGAGTACTTAACCGACGACAGAGAGGAGCTGGGGTCAGAAATCCAAGCTTCGTCGAACAGCCCCGAGTCTGACGATCACAAAATCGACTCTCCAAAGCCTGAATGCCCGATAGTGACCAGAGAGTCACCAGATCAGCAGTCACCTTATCCATGGACGGCCCCAACTGAACAGCATCGAGAGCATGTAGGTCAGCAGTGGCTTGTTGCTTTCCAGAGAAGCTACTCTGTCCTGCTCCCAGCAGTTTTTCTGGTTGTTCTCGGTATTCCGGTCTCCCTCGCAACCGGCGACAACCGTATCCTTGATGGCTGCATGCTCTGGTTCGTATGGGTCAGTGCCGGCAAGCTGCAGATGGTCCTGTCCGACGAGAACCTGCTCTCTCGGACGCCTCGAATGCCCGCGGCAGTGATGCTCGTGCTCACAACTCTCATGAACCCCGTTCTCATAACCATTTTGCTCATGATGGCATACACTCGTGCCAAAGCCGCCGCCACATCCACGCCTCTCTTCGACCTTCTAGGCGAGTTTTCTTCCGGAACCAACCTTTCGGACCTCTGGTCACACATTGTTGGTCAGTATAGGCTAAACCAACATCAGCCCAATCACTTCGGTGCTGGCGACGGCGCTCTTGCCATTCTTGAGTGCGGTATCGTCGTCTGGGGTTTCAAGCTGTACGAATGTCGCGCGCAGTTAGCCTCGCGTGCAGGACTCGCCGTGTGTATCGTCTCCGCCGTATCGGCTGCTATCAATGTCTTCGTCTCAACACTTCTCGCCAAGGCCTTCGGCCTCGCACCCCCCGAGGCCTTGGCTTTTGCAGCGCGGTGCACAACACTTGCGCTAGCTCGTCCAGCAATGGATTCCCTCGGCGGCAACCAGGTCATCAATGCGGCCCTAGTCGTCAGCAATGGCATATTCGGCCAGCTGTTGTATCCATACGCGCTGAAGCGCCTCGGCATTCCCGCGGATGAGCCCAACAGCACGAATCTTGAAACAGTCGACTCCAATACGGACGGCGCGCGCACTATCGCCGCGGGCACAGCCATTGGCATCAACGGCGCAGCTATGGGGGTTTCCTACCTTTATCAGCGGAGGAGCCGCGCGGCGCCGTACTCCGTTCTTTCCATGACGGTCTTTGGGGTCATGACAGTGGTCTTCACAGGTGTCCAGCCTTCTGTTAAGACTTTGAAGGCTCTGGTTGCATAATCAAGGGTCATCATGATGGGGAGGGGGGTGGGTTGTATTCCAGCTTGTAGACATGGATGGCATCAGGATTGACATCAGGCACCCACACCACTGCGAGCTTTCAAGGCGTCAGGGCAAGGTCTTTCCTCTTGAAAGCTTGGGTGGTCGGCGTGCCAAATGCCAGATGAGGACACGAGTTACGATACGAGGCATGCCCTAATGATAGATAATCAGCTGGCTCTAGGCCTCGCACCTGTACAAATACGTTTAATTGACGACGGCCTTCGGAGGACCTCTTCTTTTCCCCCGTAATTTCTGAACGCCTTGATTCGGGACGAGGCTCTTGCCTCCATCTGCGAGCTCAGTGAAAGCTATTTCCATTTGCATGTTCCGACGGGTGGTTCTACTCCAGCCTGTGTTATGTCATGTCAGCAGTGAAATTATGGGCAAGCGAACGGGTGGGGGTTGGCCGGACCTTTCAATCAGATGGAGACCGCTCGCCGTTTCAATGATACCGCTGACTTCACCAACCTTCAGCGCAAAGGCTGCCTCCTCGAACTCGCGCTGCATGTCTCCCTGGCCAAAGTAGCCCAGGTCGCCGCGCTTCCTCGCGCTGCTGCAATCACTCTCGGTCACAGCAAGATCGCCAAGGCTGCTCTGGCCACTTTTGATCTTCTCCTCGTAACCGCGAATGATGCTGTACGCGTCCTCCTTTGTGCGGTCGATCTTCTCTTGACGCCAAGAGGAGGGACGGCGGCTGCCTTCGTGCTTCACAAGCAGGTGGGCGGCGCGAATCTTGCCATCAGGTACAGGACCATCAGCAGGACGCGATGTCGATGCTGAGTGATGGGTGGCCATGTAATGCTTGAGTTTCTCTGTGTCGGTGCCTGGGGGCGGCTCCCAGCGGGAGACCTTGTCGGTTGTATTGAAGTAGTACGGGAGGTTCTTCGAGTTCGAGTGACGGACCTCCCAGTTAGGAGGAAGTCCGGCGTCAGCCTGGGGCAGAGTGAGTAGCCATTCGCCAACAGTTCTGCCTGCACGAGACCGGCTCAGGGAGGGAGGTTGAGGGAAATCGGGTTTTGACTAGAGTCCGTACCATTATTGCGACAGAGGTTGGTGGTAAGACGTTGGTGAACGGTCGCTCCAAGGGGCCTACAACACCAGATGATGGGAAATTTTGATCGATGCAAGATGACAATGAAGAATTGGCCGCAGGTCAAGTCAAATGGGCCTCCACGCAGAGCAAGTGGAAGGGGATGGAATCCACAGATGACGTGCCGCGCGTGGGTGCCCCTTCAGTGTTTGCATTCTAAGCTGACCTCGTGGTTGCCGGGTGTCAGCTTCAAGGTCTTGCAGCGGGGAAGTCCCAGCCCATCTAGGGGCTTCTACCAGTGAGGAGAGCCAGGCCAACCCGATAGCGTTACAACAGCGGGGGTGGGGTAGACAGGAGCAAGGGTAGACATGTTTCAAGTCATGCCATTGGTGTGCAACCCACTTCATTCAGAGGGATCACGCGGGTGCTAAGGTCCGCTGGTCTTGGATATTACCTTCGCACTGCGTCCTCTCAGCCGGCCTTGGCGGCACTGTGTGTGGCAGCTGGTTGCATCTTGGTCACTGGTTCCATTCTTCACCAGAGCCATCCTAAATTTGGAGGGGCAACGTCACGCGAGAGCAGGTGTAATGTTGGGCAAAGTCCCTGTCGCGTCCTTGACATCTACTGGTCTCCCACGCCATCATCATGATACACTTAACACCTTGCCAGGTAATGCATGTCTTTATGTTTTTGGTCTCCAGAACGCCTTGTAACTCCCGCGTGTCTCTCTCTCTATCTCTCTCATTCCTCCTCTCTTCTCGCCAACCATCGGGTATCGTAAATTCGTCATGGAGCCTAATTTTGTGTTTGGAAAATATGGCCACATTCGCAGCAAACGTAGAATAGTTTCTGGTTAGCGATAGTCAGTATTCCCCTCTGGCAATGGTACATGTGACGATGAGACTCACCATACCAGTCTCCGCACTTCGCTGCTGAGATTGAAAGAAGACAGCCTCATTGTGGCTGCAAGACGGGCAGGAAATAATCTCGCGCGGAAGCTGTATGGAATATCTGGTCAGCAAGTTCGCCCTGAGGACACACTGAGCACATTTCATCCAAGCGAGCTGTCAAGACCACGGGCTGTCTCTGCCAGCCATGGAGTCTAATCATATGGGATTACGACGGTTGCGTTGGTCGTGGTGAGTGCCGCGGAGAGACCCCAGAGGTCGGTAAAGAGATGTCGTGGTAGAATACGGGTCAACACTTGGAAAAGGTTGGCACAGTTTGATGTAAGAAAAAACGTTTCGGTATATCATTCGTATTGAACCCATAACATTCGGCATGGGTTAGAATCCACCATTCGATCGCAGGCTGTGGGGTACGTTCCTGATAGCCGTGTGTCGTCGTCGCGGATTCCGTCGTGAGCGCACTTGCGTATCGGATTCGCAAGAGCGCAGAACTCTTGCCTATTGCAGGAATTTCTTGAAAGCAGCAAAGATACACGTACAGTTGGGTCAGAACCAACATCCTGCGTGACGCCAGCCGTCTCGCCAGCCGCGTTGTTCATAACATTGCGAAAGACGCAACTCGATTGTGCTTCTTCGGTGTAGTGACATGTACGACATGTGAACTGCAGACGATGCGAGTTATCGTCCTGCTTAGGGTAGAGCATGTTCGAGCACTCCGAGCAGAAGCGGAACGTGATCTGCTCGACAGGCTTTCCGCGCGTGTCCTCGTCAGTGGCGGACTTCGGAGACGACATGACGACAACAAGGAGGAGGGCGGATAGGTCTATCGGTGAGATTCGTCGCACAGGTTTATCTCGAGTTGTCGTGTGATTGCTTGAGAGGGTTTGCGCAACTCTGGCAAGAACAGGTAAGGTTGTTGTAGGTGAAAGGATAACGCCTTGCTGACCGATCGATGCGTGGCAAGGTTAGCAACTAGCGTCGCCGCGCTGCCAACAGTCCAGCGCGGCTGGTGGGGGCCTGGGTTGGGTGAGTGGCTACCATCCTTCCTTGCCAATTTTTTGGTCTTGAACAACTAACAATTGGCTTTGGCTATGTTACCCAAAGGGATTCAGTCCCCGAATGAGGCTCCGCATGATATCCAACGTGAAACACATTGGAAATCAATTGACAGTAGTGTTCCGTTTAGTTTGGTCTAGACGAGCTGCACAAAGACCTGTGCCAGAAGGCACACTTATCATCAGTAGACAGTCGGCACATCCTAGGTAGCTTGACACATAGCACTCCCCGAGTGCTCCATAGAACTCGGTTTGCAACAACGAACGAGTTGATTGGAGTCTGATATCATATCCTTGAACGCCAGCTCATGCATTCATATGGTACACGCCGGCCTCGGTCTCCTTCCGAGACGGCAATCCTACAGTATTCCTCACAGCAACGGACGCTCACATTTTGCAATGCGCCTCCTTCCACCACACCCGCTATGCATGCATCGGCGCCATTGACAGGATTTTGCTCCACTGCTTGCGCCTGAGCTCAGCTCCGACCACTCCGTTGATACGCGTTCCAACCGGGTCTCCCGCCTTGTTGATAAGGACGCAAGCATTGTCGTCGAAGCGAACCACACTGCCGTCACGTCTCTGTGACTTCGCCTTGGTGCGGACCACGATGGCATGTCGCATATCTCCACGCTTAACCTTGTTGGCGCTTGAGGACCCTGCATTGTCGGTGCCTCGGTGCTTCTGAACAACGACGACGATACGGTCGCCTGGAGGAGGTATCAGTAATTAAATCTAGCCAAGCAATCCTAAGTTTGGTGCCATCTTGAAAGAGAGGGAGGACATACCAATGCGAGCAGCGCCCTTGCGCCCGATGACCATGGCGCATTCGACGAGGGCAGCGCCCGAGTTGTCGATGCAGTTGAGCATTGTCTGAAAGCTGTTTAGGATCAAAAAAAGGGAAAATTGCAGCCTATGGAACCAACCTTTAATTGAATCATCTTGGCTTGTGTCGTCCTCTTAACGAGGTTTCGGTCTACCGCAGAAGTTCCCCCTAACGTAGTGATCCAGATCTATCCCGTCAACAGAGGCATCAAATTGTAGATGTTGGATGGGTCCGAGCTTCTCCGGAATTACGTGTTTCCATTTCTCCGTTCGTAACCAACTGATGCAGGAGGCGTAGGTACATGATTACATCAGCTTGCCGGCACCGTCACACTGGCTGTCGATACGTTCCAGGGGTGGTTAATGTCCTGCTGCACATCATTCGTTGGCTTTCATTGTTAGAGTAATTAGCAACCGGGCAGCAACGGCAACAGCCTTGGACCTCTATCCTTACATCCCCTTTCGCTCCTTCCCCCGTCGTCGTCACTCTATGAGACGAGCCAAACCTCCGTCCACAGAAACGCGCCCTCGTCCACCTGCAACTTTGCCCAGGCCGACAATTCACTCATTTCCGTGGTTTTTTATCGTTTCGCTTAGAAGCTCACGACCGCCCATTCGGTTAATACCTCTTCAGTGGCTTTGTTGATACCTCAAAACCGCAAGATTGACTCGACTACCTTCTGCCACCACATCACAGCTCCTACAATTAATTGCCGCGGCGACCCCCATCCATCTCTATCGGCAGCCAGAAATTCCCACGATTGTCAATTTGGCTTCGCGTCGTCCACCAATTCTCCTCTCAAACGAATGCGACAGTTGGGCCTCTCACGTCGCATGTGCCTGGAGCCGTGTTCCTCGCTCCTCTGACGGCCGTATTGCCATCGGCTGAGCGCCTTGGTCCCCGAGCCTTGACCAAGCGGCGCATCATCGAGGCTCACCCGCAATGCCTCCCTCTAAGGCGTTGTCGGCACGCAAGCAGGCGCTGACCTTGACACAACTGGCCACATACGATGACATCCTTACCGATGCCATTGTGGATCACGTGGGTGGCCGCACCAGTATTCTTGTATAGCACCGCATTGTTGACTGACCTCAGGTATTCTACTGGACAACGATTCCCAAAAATCGATCTTCTTACCATGCTTCGCGCGGTGTGCGCGAAGAGGAAATTGCCAAGATCATACAGACCGACCTCGTTCTAAATAAGGACATCGACGCCGCCGAACGCAATCTGCTCACGACTGATGGACTCCGAAAGTTCTGCAATTCACTCAAGACCGATAAGGAGAAGGCTGATTTCAGGGGACATCTGCGCCGATACTTGAATCTGTACCTTCCTGACTGCCCCTTCGAAGTCAACTCGACCAATCGTTATACTATTGTATCCCATGAAGCCGCCATTACAGCTCGCCGCTTCATTGCCAGGAATGAGACAGTCAAGTATCTTTCTGGTGTTCAAGTTATGATCACACCCGAAGAAGAGCGTGAGATGACCGCGCGGAAGAAGGATTTCAGCATTATCATTTCATCAAGAAACAAGTGCGCAAGCTTGTTCATGGGCCCAGCCAGGTTCGCCAACCACGATTGCAAGGCTAATGCGAAGCTTGTAACTACTGGACAAGCTGGTATCGAGATCATTGCGACCACCAACATCGACGTCGGCGACGAAATTACCGTCACCTATGCCGACAGCTACTTTGGCGAGGACAATTGCGAGTGTTTGTGTAGTACTTGCGAAAGGAGACAAGCAAACGGATGGCATAACGAAGAGGATACGACAGTGAAAAGGAGCATAGAGGACCATTCGGCTGAGGGTTACTTGCTGCGGCGACGAAGGCGAGATGATAGTGTTGATCGCACTTCGCGTACGCCTTCTGTTAGTGCCGATATACGACCACGTGTTTCGAAGTCTCGCCGAGGGCGCAAGTCAGATCACAACCCATCTGTCAATGACTCTGCGGCTGCAGAATCACCGCTACCGCCCGCTGCAACCAAGAAGCGAACTCTCAATACCCTGACCCCACCGATCACGCCTGCGAAGAAATCGAAACTCTCTTCAAACAACGCTATCCCTGCGCCTATTGAGCCAGAAAGCTCGAGGAGTAGCTCTGCTGGTTCGCCTCGCAGCCACTCCTTGTCCAGCACTGATCATGGCGCATCTACTGATATCACTGAGCCGGAAAGGCAGAGCCCTGAACGACACTTGCTCAAGCCTCTGGTGGTTCGCAAGGATGATTTCTCTCTTTTGAAGCGAGAGGAGACAGATGAGCGGTCTAGCACGACGCTGACACAAATTTCACTTTTCTCCTCGCCCGCAAACATTACGGTCACTACACAGTCTGACAGGCCTCTCGATGACACCCCGCCCAGCACCAGACCTCTTTCAATCGCATCTCTTTGCAACCCGCCATCACCCCCCTCCTCTCAAGAACTCGCAAATACTACGAACCACGCCATCTCGGCGCCACAACGGAGCCAGTGACCGATCCCGACCCAGTTGTTGCAAAACTTGAGGCTGCGCCGTCAGCGTTGGTAGAAGCTCCCAAAGAAGCGCCAAATATCAGAAACGAACCTTTGTCAAAGAAACAACCGCCTCCTGCCCGCCATCGAATCCCAGGCGACTACACACTGACGCCCCTCTTGCTTCGGAACCGGAGACGGCCTGGATTCGATGCATCAACTGTGATACGGCCTTCGTGCAGCACAACGCGTATTACAACAAGAGTTCCTGCCCTCGCTGCGAGCGTCACTCAAAATTATATGGCTATCTTTGGCCCCAAGACAGAGAAAGCCGGTCCGCGCGACATGGAGGAACGCATTCTTGATCATCGTATCATCCACCGCTTCCTGCATGCAGACGATGAGCCAAGATTCGCCGGTCGAAGCGCCCAGCATCGAGCGCGCTACCCGAGCGATGGGTCCGATTGCGTGCTGCCGCCGAGAAAGCGACAGAGGGTTTTGAAAGATACGCCGACAGACTCCGATGAGGATTGTGGTCCTGTCAGACGCAGTGGTCGGACAAGGAGGGTCAGCAGTAGGCTCGCCGAGTTGTGAATGGATGGAAGTGCATGACGAACAAACGCGTATGCGGGATGAAGTGGATTTGTACTGGATTTTGGCGTGGTAATATCAGACCAATGACGGTTTCTTCTGCGGCTAGGGGCTACCACTTGCCCCATCATTTTAGCGAGGGCGTTGGTTTCAGGCAATGTAGCATTTGAGCTAAGCCTGCTTGGAAAGCAGGTCAAGTCAATCAAGACGGAAATTCGTTACATGAGCTGATTACAACACAACCTTCTTCTCATTCTGTCCAAACGGTAGCTATCAGTCAAAGTTGGCCGTGTTCGATCAAGCCCTTCCAGTATGGTGGTCTTTGAAAGGGTTCAGGTGCGGAGAGGTGCGCCAATCACAGGAAGGCTGCTGTGGCACAATGTCACCCTTCCTTGATCCTAAGGATTGTCTTGCGCCTCAGGATGACCTGGTTGGGTCACTCCAGCATCACAAGCAGAATTCCTGCACCCTTCCGAGGAGAATGGCAGCCAAGTGCATAGGCAGCATTTTGCCTGGGTTAGGTGTACCCCGCAGCCATCTGTCCAATTGCCATGGCCGTCTAACCATAGCTAACCGGCTCGGAATGGAATGGAGATGGCCGAAAGCTTTGGCGACAGTCGGTCTTGCCGTCAGCGTAAAGGTTGAACGAGGGACCGCCTGGTACCGTCTCGGGTTTCGCCATTGTTTTCCAAATGGACCGCATCGAGACCTTCTTTGAAAGTCGAGTACTTGCAAACCTTGACTTGACAGTCGTGGCTTTGTGCTCCGTTCCTATTTCATCAGCTTTCAGGTCACACGAGATCGTGATTTATCCTAAACACTTGCCTTGTGTGGCCTTGCCTACGGGGACATATTTTCCTTTAGCCGGGCCTTTTTCAATCGCACCTCTCAGACTCTGCTCAGCATGCTGCATCTGTTCTCCAGCATGGGCATTTTGAACCAAATTATGCTCTTTCTCGCTGCCATGACAGCTATCGTCATCGGAGTCTCTGCTATTCGTTATGTATGTTGCATTGATACCACAAGTTGTTTGGTGATCCTTATTGACCATAAACTCCAGATATTCTTGTCAGACAGCAAGGATGAGTTCAACTACGAAGATGATGACGCCATTTATGCATTCTATGGAGCCTCAAGGAAACGGGGAGCGGGCAGTAAGCGCTCCGTCATTAGAGTCGGGGGTCTAGGAGGCTGACTCGATTAGGGATGAAGAGGGTTTCTTTTGATATTTGAATTGTGACTTCAGTGAAACCCGACACTACCTCAGCGACTTGGAAATGATGTATATCAACTAGAGGTAAGAATTTAGGGGCAATGGTGAAGAAGAAGAAGCAGCGACAGCTGACGCTGTTGGAAGTACGAGAACGGGTATGAACGACGTGACTTGATCTCGAGGCTTCGGGTACTGTAGAAAACGAGACAAGACTATCCAGTGGTGTTGGTTCACTGTTATCGGAAGCATGTTGTCTATGAAGAGTTTAGGATGGGTTGTAATGTTAGTAGCGCACATCTGGACGTAGCACTTTACGCGGCTTTTGAACTCTTTACTACTCAAGACAGGCTGGGCTGGATAAGACTTGTTCTTCCACACCATCATGCATAGCGTATCATGAAAGCTCAGAACAGTATCTGCCACTATCTGTCATATCGTCCAGTAATTGTTCTAGACCAGGTACCTTGACAGTGGGAAGCTTCCTGGCCAAAACCTCAGGCGAGAGGATGTCAATAAACACGCACTTATGAAAATTTCGATATCAAATTTTGACATACCAGCGTTTTCTACGTTGGCAGGTTATCTCTTGTCCTGATGTTGTGCCTTGGTACACGGTTGGCCTCTAAGGAGTTGTTCCCCGTACTGGGACCGCGCCATCCAAATATCCGCGGGTCCTGTATGTTCGTCGTCCATCACAATTGAGATTGCCGAAAAAGACATCCACTAGAGGACACTACAGTATCCTATCTGACCACGAATCAACACTCAGCAGCATGCCATAAGGTGATTCACCAGGGTAACATGGCCACGGACAGCGGGTGTCGCAGACTCGAGCTGTCACTAGAGACCCATGCAATCAAGGCATGTTTGCTCGGTAGGGTCGGCAGCCGGAGACCGTGTCTGATCGTCTCAGCCCTGTTTACGCGGGCCCACGCGTGGGTCACAAAGGCTGGGCATGGATATATATTGTCCTGTTGCCCGTTAATCCGCGGTGCAGCAATGCTGCGGACAAAAGCGTCCTCATTTTCAGGCTCCTCCTCCTTCTTTGAGTCTGTGACCTGCATTCTACCTCTCTGGTTGGGACGAAGAGAAGCTTGGGCCGTTGTGCGAGCATCTTGTGAGACAGCTTTCTCGGCATTTGACGCGTCATCCCTGCCCAGACCTCGAGCATACTTCCCAGAGCGACCCAGTCAAGCTGAATCACTAGCCATATCGGGCAAGGCCAATCGTCGCCCTGAGGCCGAATCCGCGAATCAGCTACGATCATGACGTATGAATCCCGGTCGCACTTTACCACTTCACCACACTAAACCCTGATGAACCCATCGATGCAAATGAGGGCCTGAGCACGCTGTACATTACGGCAGCACTGAGCAATAACACTGCAAACAGCGCCTCATGCACCTATGCCTCCCCACAACCCACCCCTCGAACCTTAACCCCCCCCTCTGGCAAACAATTCTTGTCAACCATATTTCCATCCAATCCTCGACTCGCACCATTCGTTTTCTTCGTCGCAGACACTTCAACACTCAAAGCTCAACGAGAAGCCACTAACATCTGAAGCCATCCTCGACCTGTTTCGTCCGAGCAGCATCTTCTCAACGACCTCCAGCCAACCGCGCGCATGGCGCAACAATGGAAACCGGATGGGGTCTACCAGCAGCAGTACCAACAGCCCTACCAGCAGCAGCAGCAGGGAGGCTATGACTACAACCAGCAGTACAATCAGCAATATCAGAACCAGAATGGAGGAGGTTACCAACAGGGCTATCCCCCTCCCCAGCAGTCCGCACCACCTCAAGGGTACAATGACGGTTCCAATGGCTACGGATACAATGCGCCGCAGCAGGGCGAGAAGTACACCTTCGACCAAGCCTTCAAGGTCGAGAAGCCCAAATGGAATGATCTCTGGGCTGCCATCCTCGTGAGTCCATTGCCCCTACTCCTGCTCAAACCCTTCGGCCGCGCGAGTAGCCCTCCCCGGCTGTCTTTGACTGATCATTCCATGCCCAGTTCATTCTCGTGTTCATTGGCTTCGCTGCTGTTTCTGGCCTCGCCATCAGCGGTTATTCGAAATCTGGAGCTGGCGGTGGCATCTACGACAGCAACAGCAGTTTCAGCCTCGACAGCAACACCATCATCCTTTTCGCCTTTGTTTTGGCCGTCGCCGTTGTCCTCAGCTATGCCTACGTTTGGGTGGCTCGCCTCTTCCCCAAGCAGTTTATCTGGGTTACTGGTATTCTGAACGTCGTGTTCGCTCTTGGTACCGCCGCCTACATGCTTTACCGACGTTATTGGTCCGGCGGTATTGTTTTCCTCATCTTTGGTCTCTTCCTAGCCTTCTGCTTCTACACATGGATCTCGCGCATTCCCTTCTCGGCCTTGATGCTCACGACGGCGATTGACGTGTCCAAGAAGTACGGCCACGTCTACATGGTCTCGTGGCTTGGCGGTATCCTCGGTGCTGCCTTTGGCGCCTGGTACTCCGTCACCCTGGTATCCATCTATGCTCGTTACCAGCCCTCGACGAACAACCCCAACTGCGACGGTGGCGGTTGCAGTAATGGCAAGGTCATCGGCCTCATCGCATTCACGACATTTGCCATGTACTGGATCTCCGAGGTTCTCAAGAACGTCATTCATACCACCATTGCCGGTGTCTACGGCTCTTGGTACTTCTGCGTCAACAATTTCCCCCAAGCAGCGACGCGCGGCGCATTGAAGCGCTCGATGACGCACAGCTTTGGTTCCATCTGCTTCGGAAGTCTGATCGTTGCCATCATCAACTTCCTGCGTCACATCTGCTCAGTGGCGCGGCAACAGGCTGGCGCGGATGGCGACCTCATCGCATACATCCTCTTCTGCATTCTCAGCTGCCTGATTGCTTTGTTGGACTGGGCCGTGTCCTTCCTCAACCAGTATGCGTTCGCCCACATCGCCCTCTATGGCAAGGCCTATATTCCGGCTGCCAAGGACACCTGGAAGATGATCAAAGACCGAGGCATTGACGCGCTGGTCAATGTAAGTATAGTTGTCCTTGTCCTCGCGCTGCGTACTCTCGCGCCAGCTTCTCCTCATGCTGATCGTATTGCTACAGGAATGTCTCATCGGCCCCGTCTTGTCCTTTGGTGCAACCTTCATCGGTTACGCCTGTGCACTGCTCGCCTTCCTCTACCTGCAATTCACGGACCCCGCCTATAACTCGGATGGTGGTTACACGCCGGTAATCGTCGCCTTCTCGTTCCTCATTGGCCTCCAGATCGCCAATATCTTCACGACACCCATCTCGAGCGGCATCAACGCCATCTTTGTCGCGTCTGCTTGGGATCCCGAGGTCATGATGCGTGATCACCCCCATCTGTACCAAGACATGGTTCGGGTGTACCCCAAGGTGCAGGAGGCCATCCACGCCTAAGTGTGCCAGAAATGTGTCCGCAAGGATTGTGAGAGCGGGTCGAGTCCTTTTGGGGGGACCTAAAACTGTAGCGGGGAGTGCGAGGTGCAGTATACCCAAGATTTGTGTAATGTTAGAGATACGCTACTTTGTAGAGTTAGTTCTTGGTTCAATTTCCCTTCTCTGTAATCACGGCTGATTCATGACGTTTCCTTGTGATTTCCGAGGCCGTAACGGGAGTATCTGACGTTGAGCGAGATTCACAGCAGTATGCCTGCTACGACCTGTACTCGGGAGCCAGGTTTTCTATCCGTAGACCCTCTTGACCGCCTCGAAGGAGGGCACTGTTTCAGGCCTTAGATTTTTTTTTCGACTATCGTGAAGACTTTTGGACACATTTTAAAAGGTTGAAGGCTCTCTGTAGGTGCGATACCCCGCCATTGATCATTTACTCAAAAGTCCACCGAACGGCACCAGGTTGCTACTCTCTATTGGTTCATATGCCCTGAAATATTTCTCTGCAGCGAGCAGCGGACAACCAAAAACGAAATGGACAAGACCAGCGGGAGTTCCTCAGAAATTTGGCCAACGCGCGTCAACGAAGAAATCAAAAGCACGAATGAAGAAATGAATTCGCTTGCTATTAAACCTTGACAGCATCTAAAATCGAGGCAAATCGAATGGGTATATATATATACGAACTTGTCGAGCAGATTAACGAAAACCATGCCGTGACGCTGGCTCAACGCGCAATCCAGAAGCCACCAGGTCCCATTGCCTGATCCCTCATGGCAGCACCCTCAGTCCGAACACCTGCCCAGTGGACGGGAAATCTATCAACCTGCTTTTGAACCTTGTCCCTCGCGTCCATGTATTTTTCGGCAAAGGACCTCTGGCTCTTGAGTGTCTTCATGCGCTCTCTCGTTTCATGGGGCTCCCAGTTGTCGCGGCTGAGAGCTTGCACTGTCACCATGACATCGCTCGCGTTAGCGCCGAGCGCCTCGTCAATGGCGTCGCGATGCTCCGCCGCCGCGGCGCAGCTGGCCCATGATGAGGACCTTGACCCGCGCCTCGTAGAACATGACACCCCCGAATTCGTGGATAAGTGCACAGTCACAATGTTCTTGACCACGATGCTCGGCGTCGCGTACGGCGAGGGCCCGATCGTCACAATGGCTCGTGCCAGTCAGACGACAGCGTCTCCGGCAGACCCGGGCTCGGCACGATGCACGCCCAAGCCATGTACACCGCCGCGCATGCGCAGGCGAATGTCCTCGGGCACGTCGCCCAGGTTGGCCGTGGGCACGCCGAGCTCCATGCCACCACGGCCTGTTCCTCGGCAGACCTTGCCATCAAACTTGAGGGGGAACGGCTGCACAGGACCTTCGTCCGGCCCAACGACCTCAGGCGGGGCGCCTTCTAGGAGGATGTCATCCGCCTGTAGGGCGGCATATCCGGCGCCACGGCTGCCGGCGTACCGCGTCTCCATGGAAGAAACATGCGTGCGCAGGCCAGCCTTGGCCATGGCGACCTCGTGGGCGCGGGCAGCAACGAAGCCCTTCTTCTCCACGCGACGCATGACACCCGTGGTGGCAGCGGTAGCAGCCATGCGAGCGGGCCCGACGTAGCGGTTGACGACGTTGGAGGCGATGGTGCTGCCGACCTTGACACCCAGCTCGATGGGCATGGTGGCGAGGCTGGCGCCCTTGACCATGCTGGCGTCGGTAGAGGTACTGGCGACGCGAAAGACGGGCGAAGGACAGAGCGTCTTCTTCCTGCCAGACTCGCTACCAGAGCAGAGAACTAGACGGAAGTATCCGTCTTCAGCGGCGGCAGGGATGCGCACAACGTGCGTTTCGCGGGCCATATGTCTTTTGGCGTTGCCGGAGGCCTTTTTGGTGAACTTGGCCATGTCGCGCTGATAGGCGCGTTCGTCCGTGGCCGGCACGGATGACAGAGGAGCGGCGATGGAGGGGGTCACGTCGAGCCAGGAGGTCGTGGTGCCCAGCATGGATTTGAGAGCCATGCCTGTGTTGCCCGAGTAGCCCTTGCGTTGGAGCCAGATGGAGCGCGTTGGTGGAAGTGTCTCATCCGAGAAGATGGTGATGGTGACAGTCGTTGACGGCCCGCGGTACCAGACGAGGGCAGGCGAGTGGCGAAGGATGGAGAAGTGGCGTGTAGACTCCGACGGGTGTGGGAGTAGACCGCCAGCGAAGAAGACTGCTTCGTCGAACGCATTCTGAAGGAAATTTTTCTCTTTGGAGACCGCCTGGGAGGATGCTGTGGTAGTTTCAGAGGTCGCCGTGAGGAGCTCAGGCCTCGTAGGGAGAGTGGGTGCTTGCGTCTCAGCCCCGACGGTTTCCTGGCCCTGATCCCGGCGGCTCAAGGGGAAGGTCTGGCTGTATAAGCGAAGCTCTTGCGTGTGGACTTCGACCTGCGGCTTCCAGCCTGACGTGGGCGGCGGCGGCCCTGGTAATGATGAGGGGTTCTGTGAGTGTCTGCTTGAAGGTCGTGATTGGTGAGATGCAGGGGAGTACGGTCGGTAAGGGACATAGGTGGGCGTTGATGGCACGGGGTCATGCGTGGTGTATGAATGCATACGAGGTGGTCCTGGTGACGGGCATCGCAAGCGGCCATTGACATCGATGCCGGGAAAAGCCGCGTATTCAGAAGTCTGGGAATGATAAGCTGCCTGCTGCCGGAGGTTTGGCGTCGACCTGCTCGGGCGCAGCGGCTCAAGGCTGTACGGCGGCGGAGGGCCGAGATCTGCGAACGAGTCGTGCATGTTGTTGCTCGCCTTCTCACCCACGTTACTGCGTCCGCAAATGGGGATACACCTGCGAGACAGGGGATAAGTGCGCGATCGAGATGCGAATATGACCGAAGAAACAACAAAATTTCGATGTTCTTCTCGATGATTGAGATGCAGTTGTTGACCGAGATGAGGTTGAGTCAAATGCCCCTGACGTTGAGTGCCCATCACGTGCCTCGAGCCAAGTGTCCGTTCACCCACTCTAACACAAAGCACTTTTACTCCGAAGCACCAACCGTCTCAGCACATTCTGTTTCCAGTATGAATGATTCATTTGAACAGAATGCTTGGTCAGAAACACCAGGAAGCCCTCTCCGATAGATTGCCGCACTGCGGATATGCCCTGCAGCGCCAGAGCCATGCATTCAACAGGGTGCCGGTGACTCGAGACCAAGGGCATGCACTTCAGCCAGAGGGAGCACAAGAGCTTTTGTCGCTCGACATGAAAAGTATCCGAGAACAAGATAAGACAAGTGTCGGAGAAGCGAGAAATTGATCCAACATCTTAACGTAACAGACAAGAAACGCCAATCCTCTCCATTCCCAGAAGTACAACTTGGGCCTTAGTCGACACCCTGCCATCCCGCCTAGGACCGAACGCCTGAATCCACCCAAGGAAATCATCGTTAACCGTATCAGGCATCACTATGGCTGACTTCGCTCCACCCTTTCCCGTGCAGCATCGACGATCTGCTGATCAAGCACTGGTGTGCCGGAGTGTTTGTCACCGTCAACAGCGTCCTCCATCCTTGACGGGACGAGCTCCCATCGAATCATGCTCCTGTCCATCCCTGGCCACAAGTCTGTCGGTATGAATTCGCCCACATCATGGCGAAACCCTTCCCTATGCTGCCTATCACTCTCTACAAGCTTGTCGACGTTTTCTCGAGCCTTGCGCCAGATGCTCTGGATCTTGTCCTCCACCATTCGTCGTCGTTCGACCTCGAGGAGAAGGTTATCATACGCCCCAGCATATCGCTCATAGAATTCTCGCAAATCATCCATCTCGCTGAGCTTGCCATAAATGGTGTATCGCTCATCCTCCCATCGCTGCAAAAATTCTGCCTCCGCTGCAAGATAGCCTGCGAGCCGTCCGCCGATCTCCTCCAACGCCCGCAACGCGGTCGCCGTGGCTACGTAGGACGATTTGATATGCTCCGTCTGCTGTGTCAAAGCCGTTGAATCACTCATGACGGCACGAAGTCCATCGTTGATCTCCTGCACTGCCGTCTCGACCCTGCGCTGCGTCATCGACAACTACATTGATCATGTCTGCGCGCTCTTCAACCGTTGTGGGTTCTAGGCCTGACATGTGCGACTCCTGGTCTGCAATCACGCCAGAGATTGAAACTACATCGCCGCCTTGCGATTGCGTAACTTCGGCTGCGCGTCGCCTGGCGAGGTCGGCTCCACCCTCAGTCGTTCGCACAGCCGTCACGCACAGGTCAAAATGTTGTGTCAGTGACGTCAGGATTTGTGCCATGCCGTGGGAGTGTTCGACGAGCGACAGGAGGAGCTCCGGTATCGGTTCATAGGCTGTCGACGCAGAAGGGGAGGCACTCAGAGGCGCTAGGGAAACACCCATGGATTTCTTCAGGGCGCGGAGGTCGTTGTCGAAACGCAGCAGATCGCCATCGTAGGATGTCTGAATAGCCTGTTGTTCAGATGAAGTTAGCTTGTAACTCTTAAGGCGGGTTGGCCATACACCAAGGCAGAGAAATACTAACCTGCAGCTCTCCAAGGCACTTCTTCAGTGCGTCGACCATGCCATGAACGCTTTGCTCATCCACAAAGTCCATCAGGTTTCGAGATTTCTCGCCAGGCGGACGAAAGTCAGCCTCAACAGGCGTGTTTCTCAGCATCCTCATGGTCTCCTGCAGCTTCTCATTGGTAGCATCCATGGTACGAACGAGGTTGGTGAAGTCGCGCTTTCCGGCATCGTAGGTCCGTTTGAGGCTGCGGCGGACGCGCAACAACAGGGTTGTCTGGTTCGCGATGGCCCTCTGTAGAAAGCGATTCTGTGCACACATAATGGCTGCTTCCTCATGGGACCGGCGTGCATCAGTGGCTAGGTCATTGGCACGCAGCACATGTTGCATGGAAGAAAGTGAGCGCTTGGCGGCAAGTAGGTGTTCCACGAGAGTCTCGACTGGAATGGACACCGCTTGGGTTGCGTCATGGCGGTCTCGGGTATGCGAGGAAGAGTCTCGGCTGGCGTAGGCAGAGGAGGCAGCGCTGCGACTCGGGGCATCGGGGGGTGAGGTCGCCATGTTGAATGGAGGATCAGATCGCACAAACGGACAGGGAGAGAAGGCTGGGGGGGGGGCAGGATCGTGAGAAGACTATGGCGATAAATTAAGGCAATGCATGGTGATGGGGAATGACTCTACAAGACTGAGAAGAGCACTGCTTGATGGCCGAAAGCGAAACAAATGGCAAGGGGAGAAGAACGTCAGAGACAAGGTGATGAAGCCGATGACAGGCGAGACACGGTCAAGCCTACCTTGAGGAATGCTATAGGTTCCGATAAGCGGGAAGCTCCCCCTTATCAACCGAAGGATGTGGCACATGTCATGCTTGGCATTATGGCGCTGCGCTGCTCTCCACTTTTCCATGGGATTGAGGTGCCTTAGGTAATCGGGCGGATCTGGACGGGTTTGGTCACCAGCTGGCAGTCTTTACGTCCCTTACCTAGGGAGGGGAGCATTCTTGAACTTGTGGAAGGAAGACCAGGCCGTAATATCGTCTTGACATGAGGGAAAGCAGAGCACGCTACATGTTCGCCTTCCGATAAAATGGCATCAAATTCAACAGGATGATCTTCGTTGCCTTAGGAACCCCGTAAACTACCTTGTTACGGCAGTTTTCTAGGCTGTGGAATATAATCTTTGGGATAAAGAAATATGTCTTAATGAGCGGGATCCAGCTGGATAGACGAGACCAAGTTGTTCCCGAAGTCCTGATTCCGAATCTGAAATAAATGCGTTTGTCTCCGAGGAAATAATCAATCAAAATTGTTCCCTTTGCTTGGGCCGGAGTCCAGCGATTGTCGGGTTATTAATATGCGTTTCAACGTCACAGAGGAGAGTCAATAGCAAACCTGATCGTCCCAAGCCTGGTGCGGATCCTCACGATTCATTGCCGATCAATGATCAGGTCAGTCGATCCGGTCGGCGGTTCCGACCGATCTGTACAACACATTCAGAACGGAAGCGAGGGTCGACAAAGACGGGACATCATACTGGAGCGAAGATCAATGGCTCGGACAGGCGAATGCTACGTGGAACAGGTGCTGGCGGGTTTGGTTTGCATGAATCTTGGTTGATCGGACGGCGGGGTGGCATTGTCATATGTATCCACGGCCACAACAGAAATCCCAATCATCTTTTCCGCCTGCCAAGCCTAGGCTCATGCACAATAGATGATTGGTCGACATCAGATAGATTTCGCCCGAAGCACCAGTGTCCCAGCTCTTGAGCCGAGATGACAATATCGCCTGTACGAGTGACGGGGCGGGCTTGCGCTTGGGCGGGTGGTAATAATAAACATGGGCAATGCGCCGCCGTCACGCTGACTGTTGGCCGTTGCAGGTTGACAGCGACGGCGTGAGGCCTGTCAAGGATATAGCGCGCGGTCTAGTGGTATCATGATTGGTGGCCGCTGGGGTGTACGAAAAAGGAAAGCTGGAGACCATGTCGAGCTTGCATAGCATCGAAACGTGGGCTCATCTGCCCCTGACTCCTTAAGACAGGGCTGTCATCGTTGGCAAAGGTCAGGATGGATGAGGCTCACGGCCTGAGGAGCGTCCCATCCCCTCATACCACATCCTCCCTCTCCCCTTGGTTGTTCCTCCTCGCCCCAAGGTGAAACGTGGTGTGGCGCGTGTAAGGACGAATGTGTATAGAGTCATTGGCCTGGCAGCTGGAGGCTGTGGGGGGTTCCATCAGGGGGTGCTGCCGGGGACAGATCTTGGCGGTTTCAGTTGAGCTCTTGAGCGCTAGCCTCGTCCTGGACCCGACAGGCGCAAGCGAGGCCAATCGGCAGCCCCAGCGAGCGTGATGGATCACCCCCACATGGCCCCAAATGGATGTCGGTCCCGATGCTTCTTGCTGTCTTCCATGTCTTCCCTTCAACGCCTCGACCACATCTCCACCACTGCTCAATCTTACCCTGCATGAGTACACGGACAACTCCCATTACCACGGACGGGGTCATCCTCGCCTACTCGGTCTGCAACCCTCTTCGCATCTAGTTCATCTCATCAACCAACGATCCCTCCCCTGGTCTCCCGCCGCACAGCAACCCCCCTCGTCACGATGCGCCCAGCCGCCAGCCCGACCAGGGCCCTGGACGACTCTTCCCAAACCACCATGACCGCCGAGTTTAATTGAAACTATGGCGGAGCTCTCGCCCAGCTCCTTTCATCCTGCCTGTCAGTTGGCACCATTATCGGTGCAGAATCAGATTGCAGCCGCCGCCTTTCGACCTCGCCTCGCCTCACCCCGCCTGGTCTGACCTGGTCCGGCCGCCGGGGGCCTGGTCACGATGCCGCCATATATATCGCCTTCCCCGTGGTCCGACATCCCTCAGACTCCCGAAGAAAGTCACCTTCGTTCATCTGTAGCTGTGGTTCATCCTGTTCATTCCTTCTTTTTTTGTGCTTGCAACTAGCTTGCGTTCATTCATTCATTCAACTTTTTGATCACACTCTTTCATCGACCCGGCAGTCGATTCACTTCTCCAGGCCTTTTTTGCCTTTCCAACCACACGGATAACCACTACCGCTCTTTTTACAAGCAACTTGACAACCCCTCGAAAAAACCGACCTTTACGTTTCCACCAATCACGCCGCCACCCAAAAGAACCGTCATCATGAAGTACTTTGCTACCATCCTTAGCTCCGCAGCCCTGGCGGCTGCCCACGGCTTCGTCGACACCGCCGTCATTGGTGGCAAGGACGTTGAGTTCTACCAGCCTTACACCGACCCCTACACGAGCCCTGTCCCCGAGCGTATCTCTCGTGTCATCGCCGGCAACGGCCCTATCCTCGATGTCACCAGCCCTGACATGCAGTGCGGTGGCTCCGGCTCCGGCTCCAAGCCCGCTGCCCTTCACGCCCCGGCCGCTGCCGGTTCCACAGTCTCCCTGAGCTGGACGCTCTGGCCCGACTCGCACGTTGGACCCGTCATTACCTACATGGCCCGCTGCCCTGACGCTGGCTGCGATGCTTACGAGCCCGGCACTGAGTGAGTAGTCCTTGTTCGAAAAGATGCAACTGGGTCGACTGACTGACCGAACGCAGCGCCGTGTGGTTCAAGATTCAGGAGGCTGGCCGCAAGGGTACCACGAACGAGTGGGCTGCTTCTGCTCTCATGAAGGCTGGTGCCACTGCCGACTACACTATCCCCGAGTGCCTTGCGCCTGGCTTCTACCTCGTCCGTCACGAGATCATCGCCCTTCACCAGGGTGCCGAGTTCTACCCCGGCTGCCACCAGCTTGAGGTTTCCGGCTCCGGCTCCACCACCCCCTCGTCTGGTCTTGTTGCGTTCCCCGGTGCTTACTCCGCGTCTGACGCTGGTATTGACTACAGCCCCTACCAGAGTAAGTCATTCTATTCTGACGTCCCCAGCCACCGTCAGCCATACTGACCCTGTCTCAGCCACGGAGGAGTACACGATCCCTGGCCCCAAGCTCTTTACCTGCTCTGGCGCCTCGCAGCCTGATGCTTCTGCCCCTGCTCCTATTGCCACTGACGCTCCCGTCTCCTCCGCTGCCCCTGTCGCCACCGCTCCTGCTACCACTGCCGCCCCCACCACCCCCACTGAGCCTGCCACTCCCGTTGAGGAGGAGGAGCCTGTTGAGGACGATGAGTGCCCTGCCGAAGACGAAGAGGAGGAGGAGCTCCCCGTCGAGGATGATGAGTGCCCTGCCGAAGACGAGGAGGAGGGTCTTGATCCCGTTGCCGTCGATGATGACGAGTACGATGACGAGAACACCGACGAGGACTGCCCCGCTGAGCCCATCGAGGAGGGCACCGAGGAGCCCATCGAGGACGATGAGTGCCCCGCGGATGAGGAGGAGGAGGACGTCGATGCCGAGGAGCCCGTCGAAGATGACGAGTGCCCTGCTGATGATGGCGAGGAGGTTGAAGAGCCCGTCGCCGAGGAGGACGATGATGAGTACGAGGACATTGAGGAGTGCGAGCCTGTCGTACCCACCAAGCGCCAGAGCCTCCACGAGCGCCGTTCCGTCTACTAAGCTGTGCGGAACCACGCCCTGTCAACGAGTGTGTTCCGTCAGCCCATAGGTGGCTGACCTCTGCTCTTGCTACCGGCCTGTGAGTTTGTGGCTCTGGTCCGCAGCAAGTCATGTACACACACCCCGCGTACAACAAAGTTTCTTGTATATGAGCTCGTTTTGTTATCCTGTACATATTTACACCATTGCACACACATGAATAGACATGCTTCATGGTCTAAGGCTGGATGATCTTTCCATTCGGTTCCCGTGATGAAACATCTCGTACCGGGATTGTGATCAATGCGGATAGTACCATACATTCGTCATGGTATATGGTATGCATGCACCATACCGACTGCGATCAGATCATCGTAGGAGCATTGCTGTCAGCGTTTCAGAACTTCAAGTCATTCTTCGCCATCATCGCGCTTCCTACGACACTAATTATTAAATTCCTTTGTCGTTGATGCTATCCCATGACCGACAGCTATAATCCGAGATTTTCTCATCTGCTTCTTGGTCCAAAGTAAGGCCCCCTTGTATGAGGCAACCTCCTCCGCCAAGTGACATGTGAAGGAAGATCACACTAAGCTTCCTCTATAACTGAGCGACAGCTATGATGGCTGCCAGAGTCCCAGCCCAGAGGTTATACGAGTGAAGAGACCCCCCAGCAGTTATAATCGCCGGTCCCGAGATCGTCGGTACTGGTTCTTCAGGGGCAGTGAACGATGTTGGCATGACAATTGTTGTCGAGGACGTTGGGTTTTGTCCATCATAAAGCGGGATAATTAGGCTTCCGTCGGATGTCATCTGACTAGGCGCATCATATGATGGTGTAGTAGGAGCGGGTACGATAGGATAGACGGTCGGCGGTTGGCTGTTGGACATGGCGACGCTAGAGAACAATTCGGTACTACACGGTGTCGAAGTGCTGGGGAGACCTGGCGACACGACGACGATGAAGGTTGAGCCGGAACTCAGATCTTTCGAACACGGCGAGGAAGTGGACGTCAGACCATACTCGCCAGGAGGTATAGTGGTCGAGGAGGAGGAACCAAGACCAAGACCATGTGCGCTCTCTGTTGTCATTGCTGTTGTGGAGTCTTGAGGAGTCGAGGGCCCCGATGTACTGAAGGCTGGTTTCTCCAGATCGTCAGAGCAGAGCGATGTGGATGGCGGCACCGACGCCGCGCTTGATTCGCAGGGGCTATAAAGCGATTGGATCGTGATAGATAAAACCTCGATCGGGGTTGTGGCTGGAGCCGTAGCTGGAACCCCACAGCTTTGACGACCACTGCAAACTGCATAAATGTTGGCGTAGGAGCTGTCAGCGTCCATATAGCCACAAAACCCGAGGCTGACGTCCCCGCGACACGGGTTGTTGCAAGCACTGTCGTCCTTTTTTAGGCTGTTGAGGTCACCGATGCTATCGCCGCAAAGGCATAGTCTGCAAGTGTAAAGGTTCAGCATGGTACAAGATTTATAATTTGGGCTGGAAATGAAAATGAAAGACAGACTCCACGAAAGCTGCCGCGTATTCGTAGCCTTCGCAAGCAGATTGGCACTGCTGAGGCGTAAAAGGATCCACGAAGTTGGCAGTGTGGTCGAACGCGATGTTCCCAATATCTACGCAACCGGAATATTTCCAGGAAGGCCCGGCGAATGTGGCTTGAGCCGCGACACAAGCTGCCGATAGGAACGGGACGAGGACGGCGTAAGTTCTCATGGCGATCGAGGTCTTGAAGCTTGCTGCTGTCATATTATGAAAAGTACAGGAGGAAAGAATGTGAGATATCCCGAAGACTTGAAATCACGGGTTTTGAGGAGAAAACCACAGGCCTTTCTACCTCGTGCCCTGGAAGGAGCATATCTGGCGTAAGATTGAAGGTGTATTTGAACGAATGCGGTGTAACGACGTGGTAAGGGCAGATGCAGGGGATTATCTTCCATCGCGAGGTTATCAGATTGTCGAGCCACTGTGCCGCAACCTCCTCGTGGTGGCAGGAGCAATACAGCTTGGCTTGCCCAGGTAGCCAAGTAGCCCTCGAGAAATGCTCTCCGACTCGCAGCAGGCACAACTGGTGAAGACCTTCGCCGGGCATTGCCTCGCCATTGCAGGGAAGGAACATTGTGCCATGACTGGGCTATGCAACAGCGTGGCTGCTTTTCTCGCTTGGTCACTGCCGTGATGTGAGTACAGAATGGGAAGTCCCTGCCCGTCTTGTGCACTACATTCATCTTACGTTCCTCGATATGCCAGAGGCTTCAGACCTAATTGATGCGCTGCCCTGTTTTAAGGTAGGTATCATGGGCGTACCAGTCAGGAAAAGCAGCAAAGAGCTGTTGTGCCTAACGTAGGTTGTGGCTTCGCATTTCGACATAACTTCACTGCTGTGACAATAGATTTAGTCGTGATGTGACATCAGCCTGGCGATCGACCAGAGATGGCTGTTGCGGCGTAACGCACCCGTACACTCGTGCACCTCACTGTAGCCGCCACGATTGCACAAGAAGACGCGGGCGGCCCCGATGCGGCTGGGGTGGCAGCACATGTGACCTCTGAGCATGTTCATATCCGAGGATTCGAAATGAACACGCATTCATGAGCTTCATCTCGGCTGTACAGGGGCAAGGTTCTACAGATTAGGTGTTCGCACAACGGAGAGCTTGAACGATCCGTGTTGTATACGAACTTCCACAGACGATCGATACGCCAATGGCGCAGATCACAGTGGATTGTGATATGTTTGGAAGGGATCTCATGGTCTTGCATAAACTTGTTGTGACCCGAGAACGGCCGTCTTCGCCGGAGAACAATGGGCTCACTCGAGCCCGAAACGGCGCAATCGTCAGGGCTCTCTTTGATCATCCTAACACCACACTCGGTGTTACCAGGACACACCACGGGCCTTTGGCGGTTACGCACGAATGCTAAACACAGCGGTCGGCCATCGCGGGGTCAATCGGGGTCTCATCATCCGATTGCGCTCGTGTTTCTCCGTGTTTAGCGCCATATACCACGACAGATGCATCGCTCCACGGGCAAGTTGCGTGTGAGATCACAGGCTTGAGCCTTTGAACATCTATTTGTGCTCTGGATGACGCAGCCACCATTTCTTCTTAACGGCTTTGGGGATCTCTCTTTCCTTTTTTCTTCCCGCTTCGCCTCCTTGACGGCTTGTTTATGTTCCTGGTGTGGTGATGAGTACGGTGGACGACAGTGTGTGAGATGTCTTGGCGGCTTACCTTCTTCTCGTCCTTATCCTCGTGCTTCTTACCGCGAGGCCTGCTCTTCTCAAATTTTGACTCGTCACCACTGTCCAATTCAGCACCGCTGCCCGAATCTTCTTCAGAGGGCTCATCATCATCTGACTGCTCCTCGCCTTTCTTGTCGACCACTGTGTCAGCAAGCAAATTCTTGTACACCAAGCTGTCACCCTTGCCCTGTTCAATTTGCTTCGCGTCTTTCTCAATGTCGTACACCTGTTGCAACGTTTGAGGGATATATTGGCTGCGGAAGACTGCATTGTCGACCTCGACGTCTGCGGCCGCGGCCTCGTCATCTGCCTCGGGATCTCGGGTCTCATAGAGCTTCTCGATCGACTCCTCCAGCCCGGGCTGCTCAGTGGGGCCCTGTGTGGCTGTAACGAAGTGGAAGATGGCCCGGTCTGTCAAGGTGTCAACGCCCTTGCGTCGGAAAAAGTCGCCGACGTTCTTGATGTCCATTCGCAAGAATTCTGACGCGCGTGGATGGTCGGGCTCGACACTCTGTGACACATCAATGATGTACAGGGTGTTGTCGTTGTAGAGAATGTTGTACTCGCTCAAATCAGCATGCACCAGCCTACAGACTTGGTACAGCCGACGCATGAGTCCTAGTAGCTGCACGTACAGTCCCCTCCATACTTGGTCGAGGTCCTCGCCGACCAGGTTGGCGTCTCGGAGTCGGGGAAAGGCCCAGCCTCTCTTGTCGCCGAGGAAAGTCATGGCTAGTACATGCAGCTTCAGGCTTATGGGCTCGGGGCACGGAATACCAGCAGCGTGTATCCTCCTCATGTTCCTAAACTCTTTCTCGGCCCATAGTTTCACGATGCTACGGTTACTGCTCTTGTCGAAACCCTTCTGGAATCGATGCTCGCCAGCAATGTACCGCTCACGATCCTTGAACACCATGATGGACGTCTTGTACACCTTGATCGCGCGCTGCAGTGTCGGCCCATCGTCCGGGTGCAGCACGGCATGGTAAACGTTGGCTTCCTTGCCGGTGCTGATGGTGCCGTGGACCTCGCTAACGACGCCGCGATTGATCATCTGTAATAGAATCATGCGCGTCCGCTGGTCAAGAACCTGCTCAGTCGTGGCGCGGTCCGCCTTATCTTTTGTTCGGTCATCGTCGGCCTTGACACTGTCGAGTCGAATCTTGGCGGCGTGCTTTGAGAGAGCGGCGACTTGATCGTCGACGCTGGCGAATGTGTTGGCAGCAGGCCTCTGAGCGTTCGATCGAGATGCTGTGGCATCGCTGGGGCCATTGAACATGCGCTGACGATTGTAGGACTTCGTCACGTCGCCCGTTCCGTCATTCCAGTCCTGGTCGTCGACGTCATCGTCTTGGAAGATGTCGTTCATGTCCCCATCGTCGTCTACTTCATCAGCAAGGCTTGCTCCATTCGGAGCTTCGGTTTGCGGTGCTGTCGGTTCGTGTTGGGGGACGGCGGCCTCGTGCGAAGGAGCTGTGGGATGAAGGGACGCCATGGTAGCTGAGATTGCCTAATTCGAAGTACGAACCCAGGCGAAATTGGTGGTCTCTCAGCGTCAAGGGTTGGTGAGGGGCAAGTCAAAAAATAATTGTTCCTCTTGGGGAGCGCTATCTTATCGATGATGGCGGGGTAATTACTCGATAATGAGTCACGACTCCCGACATGCACTGGGCGGGGTTCAGACACCTCAGACGTGCATCAATTTGGAGCCCAACCTGCCAAGGAGGCGTCGATACAGAGCATCCAGTGTTATGAGAAGTGGAGTTGGAAACTCGTGTAGCTTGTCTTTGCCGCCGCCTGAAGTTAGCTGAAGCAGCAGAACCAGACGCTAAATGTTGTCCTGCTTTATTGTTTCCTCGTAGCGTGGCCCATGAGAAAATGGTGTAGTTAATGGACCCAGGGAGGGTTCATGGCTGGCACCCTGATGCACAGGACGAATTGGGTGACTAGCTCCACAAGGTGGTGCTTCACCGAATTCACCTTTCTCACCGACCCCAAAAACCAGCCTGAGCGAGAGTGCCCGCAAAGCTCATTCATAACCCTTCATTCATTTCTTCAGTGGCCGAACATCGGACATCGCGTCAACGACATTCGACAAGGCAAGCTTGGAGACGACATCGGCCGCTCAATATGGATCGCAACCAGGACAATGCAAACCTTCTCGATACTCACAATCGACTCACGGCTGACATTGTCGCCCGCTTTCGTACACTCACAATGCTAGCGACCATTCAAGCGGAGGCCTCGAACCAGAATGTTGACCCGCAGACCATCGCCGTCACGGGCATGTCGATGCAGATGGAATTTGAGGGTCTTGTAAGCTGCGCTCCTGATTCCTGCGCCATCGTTCCAGTCTGACCGTCGTCGCAGAACAGCTCGGTGAAAGAGCTCCTCGCCTTGAGCCGTCGCCTGAAGGAGCTGTGGCTTTTTGGCCGTCTGGGCGACGAGGACGAACGGGCTAAAGCTCAAGCCGAAAAACTGGACCAGGATGTCGTACGTGTCGCTGAGCTCGTCAATTCCATCCAGGGTAACCGGTACACCAAGCTAGCGGAGGAGAACGGGGGCGTTTGGGCGTTCTTGAGTGCGGCGAACTCAAGGAACGAAGTTACCGAAGCTCCGCTTACGCAAATTGCACCGACTCCTGGCCCAGGCACAGGCACCGGTGCGGCACCAACACCGATGCCTGCACCATAGTAATCGATCGCACATCTTGAAAGAATACAATCATGTCCAAGCGGGGCGGCCGCGACCAAGAGACGATCGAATGGCGTTTTGGCGTTGATACCCAGCGGCAACATAGTTATGGTACATTTGGCTTTACATCCTTTCTTCACATGGCGCTGCTAGGCGACTCAGAATCATTTGATAATCGGCATGCGACAGTTTTGACTTCTGTACTTGACCTCTACGTTTAGCCTTCGCCGCCCTCGGGATCCTCATCCTCGTCATCTACTAGCGCAACATTGGATGCCTTGTCATCCTTGCTGAAAGGCTTGGACGCCCTGATCGCGCCTGCTTGAATGCCGCCAGCGGTCAACCAGAGGAAGTAGTCGGACTTGAAATTGTCGACTTGCTGGAAGAATGTATGGAAGCTGGGTTCTTGTCAGTGGACATATTAATACTGCACTTCGCGACGCCACTC